CTGCTTCTGCCAGCCAGTCATCTCCCCTCCCCCCCCCGCGATCTCCACTTTCTTTGGTGATTCAGAATGCCTTGCAGTGCCTCAGGGCCCTCTATATCAAGCTCAATTATCATGAATAACCAGGATCAAAAAAAGAATTAGATGAGTTCAAGGAGGGTAGGTCCATCTATGGCTAATAGCCACAATGGTCAGGGATTCAACCTTATGCTCTGGGTGTTCCTAAACATCTGGCTGCCAGAAGCTAGGACTGGATGACAGGATTCAGAATGCCTTGCAGTGCCTCAGGGCCCTCTATATCAAGCTCAATTATCATGAATAACCAGGATCAAAAAAAGAATTAGATGAGTTCAAGGAGGGTAGGTCCATCTATGGCTAATAGCCACAATGGTCAGGGATTCAACCTTATGCTCTGGGTGTTCCTAAACATCTGGCTGCCAGAAGCTAGGACTGGATGACAGGATAGATTATTCAAGAATTGCCCTGTACTGTTCATTGCATCTGGTTCCAGCCACTGTCAGAAGACAGGATATGGGGCTAGATGGACCATTGACCTGACCCCCGCTGACCATTGCTATGCTCTCGTGCTCTTCCATTACCAATCCAATCCTTAAGAAAGGAGGCGTGGGTGATGATGACTTTGAAACTGGTTCTTATTGCCCCTCTGCCCATCATGGTTTCAAACTGGTTGAGGATTTTCTATTGTGATTCTGCCTTATAAAGCTGCTTATGAAGGGCTTGCTTCTATTGCATTACAAGGACTAGTAGATGAGAGCCTTGATGCAGGCATCCTTGTTCTAGCAGCCGTATCCATCACCCGGTCCATATTACTAAATGGGAGGGTGCTGCTATTTCCAAGGGAGATATGTATATGGGTTTGGGGCGGGTAGCAGCATAGAAAGGAGCTCCTAATGTAAACAAAGCTGGGACTCATTGGAATGGTACATTTTTCTTAATGAGCAACCTAATTGAAACCAATGGGGCTACTTCTGTGGTAAGGTAATAAATATGCTGTAAATCAGTGGGGACCCAGAGTAACGAGCTCTGTGTGTGTGTGTGTGTGCGTGCGCGCGCGTGCACACACATTCACATGTGCAAAGTTAACTTCCCCCAAAGTGAGGGAAGAACAGGTATTGGATTTGGTCACTGAGGGCTTGATTCTTGGCAGGTGCAGGATTTATTTGGCACACCATTTCCCACACTAGTAGCGTACACACCAGCTGACAGCATGTGCGGTGGAACGTTTGGAATTCAATAGCTGTAGGACGAGACAAACCCTGACAAAGAAAAATAGCTGCCAAAAGGCCCTTTGGGGGCAGTATATGTCTCCAAAATGCATTCTTCTTGCTTGTGTTGAAAACCTGGGCAATTCTTTCTGACAAGCCTGCGGGCAGCCTGTTTACGAAGCCAGCTTTGATTTTTGTTAAGATAGTGGACGCTGGACCTTAGAAGCACAGAAAAGTGAGACCAAATGTAAAGTCTTTGTTGGTTTGGAACTTTCATACAATGTATATTTTCCATCTTAGGTGGCTAAACGCCAAAATCAAACAGAATTTATATGCCCTGGAGCTAAAATCCTCTTGCTGTCTCTTGATACCAAAAGCGGTTATAACTCCTGACTGTAATATGCTGCAATATTGACAGATGAATCTCTCTCTGTCTCCTCCTCCCTTCCTCCCCACAAGGTGGTCTGAAATGTTTACAAACCAAAGTTTCTTTTTTAGGTAATCATTTTCCATTTGATATGTGTGCAACTGAGGGTTCCTTCCTAAGTGGAGTACTTTGCATTTGTCCTTATTAAATTTCATCTTGTTTACTTCAGAACATTTCTCCAGTTTGTCCATATTATTTAGAATTATAGCACTATCCACCAAAGCACTTGCAACCCCTCCCAGCTTGGTATCAGCTGCAAATTTTATAAGTAGATTCTCTGTGTTATTATTTACATCATTGATAAATATATGGAATAGAACTGGACCCAGAACTGATCCCCTACTGGTCTCCACTTGTTATGTCCTCCCAGCATGACTGTGAATCACAGATAACTACTCTCTGGGAATGGTTTGCCAACTACTTTTACACTCACTTTCTCCATCTAGGTTGCATTTCCTTAGTTTGTTTATGAGGAGGTCAGGCGAGACAGTACTAAAACCTTTACTTAAAGTCAAAATCCACAGCATCTGGCTGCTTTCCCTCTATCCACAAAGCTTATTCCCTGTCAAAGGAAGCTATCAGGCTCGTTTGACATAATTTGTTCTTGACAAATCCATGCTGTTACTTTTCACCTTTTCTTCTAGATATTTGCAATTGATTGCTTAACTATTTGCTCCATTATTTTTCTGGGTATAGAAGTTAAGCTTACTGGTCTGTAATTCCCCGGGTTGTCATTATTTCCGTTTTTAAGACAGGCACTATATTTGCCCTTTTCCAGTCTTCTGGAATCTCTCCTATCTTCCATGACTTTTCAAAGATAATAGCTAATGACTTAGGGTACGTCTAGATTACAGGCTTTTTTCGATAGAGGCTTTGTCGACAGATACTGTCGACAAAGCCTCTGTCGAAAAAGAGCATCTAGACTACAGCCAGTTCTGTCGACAGAGAGTCTAGCTGCTCAGTTTTGAAAAAGCACAGTGTGATGCAATAGCACCTTTTTTCGACATAACTGTCGAAAAAAGGCGTTATTCCTCGTAGAATTAGGTTTACCACCATCGACAAAACTGCTGCGTTCTGTTGACTTACTTTCGACAGAACTTGGAGGTAGTGTAGATGCAGGTATAGTTTTGTCAACAAAAGCCGACTTTTGTCAACAAAACCCTGTAGTCTAGACACGCCCTCAGACATCTCCTCAGACACTTACTTAAGTATTCTAGGATACATTTCATCAGGCCCTGGTAACTTGTCTAAATAATTTTTAACTTGTACTTTTCCTATTTTAGCCTCTCTGATCCTACCTCATTTTCACTGGTGTTTGCTATGTTAGATGTCCAATCACCAGCAGGTTTCTTGGTGAAAACCAATAATATTAATGTCTTTTTGAAAAGCTGTCAAGTGTCTTCAGTTGATTTTCCCCTTAGACTGGCTTCCCGTGGGATTATCTACCAACTCCCTGAGTTTGCTGAAGTCTGCCTTTTTGAAATCCAATGTCTTTATTTTGCTGTCCTCAAATCATGATTTAAAGACTTCAATTTACAGAGAATCCACCATTTACACTAGTTCAAACCTGCAAGTGATCTGTGCCCCATTCAGCAGAGGAAGGTAAAAAGCCCCAGGGTCTCTGTCAGTCTGATTAAGGGGGAAATGTCTTCACAACCCCAAATATAGCATCAGTTAGACCCTGAGCATGTGGAATGTGCACCTAATTAACATATACATAGAGACAAGCAATGGGTGAGAGGTGGAGAGAAGGAACCCCACCCACAGAGGGATACATTCCTGGGAGAAAGCTTGCCACAAAAACAGCAAGGGCATTAACGGGACAATAACTACTAGCACACAAGGCTCTGCCTTCTGTAACTATCAGTAAGTCCCATTGAAACCAACAGAAATTCCTCCTGAACAGGAAGGGGAGCACCACCCGGCACAGGCATCTCACAATCATATTACCGTTGTTGTCCATTTGGTGGGCATGAACCAGGTCACCAGCATGCTAGGCACTGTACAGACAGAACAAGGAGGCAATCCCTGTGCCAAAGAACTTACAATGTAAGTAGAAAATGAGAGCCCACAGAGGTCTACGATAAGCAGGTGGAGGGGGTAGGAAACTATAAGGCAACACTGATCAGCATGAATGGCAGTGGTAGCAGCACTCTACAGCTAGCTAATAATCTGTGTGACCACTTTAAACATTTGGGGCTCCTTTCTGCGCATTGACATCAGGGGGAGTTTTGGCATTGAACTATCTGGGAGCTAGATCAGACCCCAGGCGACTAGCAAAATCTCCTACGCATCACGTCCTCCTCCTCTCCCCAGCCACATCAGGGAAGCATCCTATACCACTTGAAGGAGAGGGAACCATTTTACTACTTCTATCGCCCCTTCCCTTCCCTTTGAGTCCTTCTCCTCACAGAGCTCTCCTCAGGACTTGAGATGCTCCCTTTGGCTTATGCAGATGTGGATTCCAAGAATCTGCAGCTATGGTGCCCTCATAGATAGACTGGCCTCGCCCTGCTGGTCATTGGTGTAGTGGTACCAAAGCAGTGGGTGAAATGACATTGCCCCTTCCCTGAATGAGAGGTGGGTAAACTCTGTTCACCCTCGACTGCTCTCCTGCCATGGATGCCAGGGTGATTTTTGCCATTGATTTAAAGGGCATCAGGACCTGGGCCACGTGTGCCACCTTGGAGGATGAAAGGGGGCTAACAACACCGAGTTTGAGTTTGTCCTGGTTTCTCCTCTCTCTCCTTCCAGGAATGGACGTACACATACAACCATCAGGTCCGCCAGCAGCAGCTCTGCTTGTCCGTGCACACCCTCTTCCCAGGCTCCCAGGTGCTGCTGTCCCCGTGCAAAGAAGGGGATGGCAAACAGGTGAGTCTGTGGATGATTTGTTGCTTTCTCTGACCGCCTGGGAGGCTTTAGTCCTCTCTCCTTCCCCAGAGCACGTACCACACCGGCAGTGGCAGTGGGCTCTTCCCCCACATCGTCCCAGCAGCGTATTCTGTGTCCTGAGGATACAGCCACTAGTGGCAGTGATGCCTCGATTCAGTCCTTGGCCTCTAAGCTGAGTGTGTCGCTGAGTGTGGCACTTAGTCCACTGGCCCGGAGGTCATTGCCCATTAGAAACTCAACCACAGCCAGCAGCTCATTTCACCCTGGCTGCCAGTCAGCCACCAAACACTCACATGTCTCAGCAGTTCATGATCAAAGCCCTGAGCGGATATAAAATGTGTATCTGCATCTGTACAGCAAAGATGAGCCGTGGATATCCACACTGACATCCATGCAGACCAATCCCCATGGATGTACCCAAATTTGCAGAATTCTAGCTACAAAATTTGTGTCTGCATCTGCAAAAATGAGCCACCGATATCTGCATCCACAGCTTCGGATACCTGTGGCTATAAATTTGATATCCGCAGATTTGCAGGGCTCTATTAATGACCTCAGCAGTGTGTGAACCACAGAGTAGAGGAGAGAGCCTTTGCTGATGTATTGGGTTTTTTTAAACCTGGAACCTAGGAGGAGGCTCCTGCCTAATATGCACACTGCTGACCAAGAAAGACATGGTGTGTCACCAGTCTTCAGTGACGTCAGTGCTCAGTACATCCTATGAGGCAGGCCAATGGAATCGACTACGATTTTCTTGTTTAAATATCTTCTGCCAGCTCCTGGTACTTGCTGCTGCCGGGGCTGAGCCAGCCGTGTATCAAAGGAGTGATTATTGTTTCACAGCCATTGGTCATGCTAGTCGCGTCGCCTGAGCACTCACTCTTGTCCCTCTTCCCATGTCTCCCTGCACAGCGATGGGGTAAAGTCGGCTCTCGTATTGAGCACATGGCCTCGCGCTTCTGCCTGGACACCGAAATGATGGGCGACACCAACGAGAGTACCGGGGAACTTGTCATCAACCCCTGTGAGAGCACAGCCATGAGTCAGCGCTGGGACATGGTGATGTCCTGACCACCCGAGGTGTCACAAGTGCAGAACCAGCCAGGAGGGCTTCGTCGGAAGCAGCCATGGCCCACAGCAGAGGCTGCTGGGAACTCAGCAGCAGAACCATTGGGCACCTTTGTTCATTGTGAGGCGGGAGCAGGAGGAAAAAAGAGCTAGGCCAAGGGAGCTCTGGGTTGAAGAAGGGATGTCGGCTGTGGGATCTGCAGTTAGTGGCCTTTTGGGATTATAGGTTCAGCAAGGCAGAACCACACACAGCCAGGCCCTAAACATCTTTCAGGAACACTGAGTCCTGGCTGAGGTCTGAGGATGGCCCTGCTGAAATGCAGCGTGCACAGTATTTAATCTTTTACTGCCAAGATGGAAACTGGAGGAAGATCCTTGGAGGGAAAGTGGAGATCTGTACACAGCAAGACAAGTGTGTAGTTGGCCACAGGGGTGGCAGAAAGGCTGAAGGGTGGAGCAAGAGGATGCTAACGTGAGACAAATGTGGTTGCCTTGGGGATGAGTGGAGAATGCCAGGATTACCTGTCTCTGTTCATGGATTTGGATGAGGCGATAGCATGTTCTCATTTGTCTGTAGACTGGCACTTGGTGTGTACTGTACAGAGGGCCCGTGCTGTCATCTGATGCATGTGGCCAGAATCAAGATGATGGGGAGGGGGTTCTCACCACTCTGTACTCTCAGTGCTTGGACCCCATCGAGTCTTACCGCAGAGGCCAAGCCTGTGAGGGAGCTAAATAGGCAAACCCTTCTGACAATGCAGGGGAACAATACTGTTAGTTCTCCTGCCTGAATGGCCTGAGCCAGCCAAGATCACTGAGTTTTCCCCATTAACCTCAGTACAGGTCTCGTGTTTCAACCCTGGCATCTCTGAAATGATCATACCATGTCACTCCACTAATATTTTGCTACTTGAAGGTAATTGTGCCTTGTGTGCGTTTCCCAATCTGCTTCGTACAATAGCTGGGGCCTGAGGGAATGGGGCTTCCTTCAGCATGGCACAGACTAAGGTAGGGACCTCCCAGAGGGCTTTTATGAAGCGCAGGAGAAAGGAGATCCACCCCAATGTTGCTGCCTCCTAGAATGTGAGCGTTGATGGAAGAATTTGGGATGCCCCCCAGCTGCATCGCTGAGCAGGAAGCCCCAGTTCAGGAGACCCTGGAAGGTTCTCTCTCTGCTGTGGCCATGGGCACTCGTAGGCACTGGGGTGGTAAGATGTGGGGGCTCCAAGAAACAGGCATTGGCTAGAGATAAAATGCCAAGATGATGTTTGTGCAGGGCTGAGGGGATTAAGTGGAGACCTGAGGACGTGATGTGGACGGGAAACAGTCCTTTCTTGACCTGGCCTTTGGGCTAGGTCTCTGCACAGAAAAAGGGATTGGTGGAGCAGGACTTTCCAACAGGATGGGAATCACCAAGGCAGTCTATATAGGGCCTTGCACAGCTGGGTACAATGCAGGGTGGGACTTTCAAGAGGGCCTGAGGCACTTGTAAACCAGTGAGGTTTGAGCTCCTGAGTCATGTAAGCGGTTACAAAAATCCCGTCCTCTGGCCAATTTCAAACCTGTGACCTGGAGGTGGAACATCCTCTTACCAAGTTTGCCTGGCCTCCCTTGATGAATATAGTGCTAGGGATTGGATTGCTCAGACGCCCTGGGCTTGCAGTGTAGCACCACCATAACTGTTTTTATTTTCAAATCATCCCGGTTTATAAAATGCTTTTCCAGCTGCAGTAAAGCAGGTTATTAATCTGATGAAGCCACTATGCTGTGATCCTCCAGGACCTGCCTTGTGAAAGAGTTCAAGGAAGCCATCATGTCACAGCAATGCATGGCACCATTTTCATTTCTCAGCTTTCTGATAGGAAAACAAGACAACTACAAATAGAGCGGGGTGGGGTGGGGAGGAGGGAGAAAACTCAGGCCCAATTCACAAAGCAGTCAGTGAACTTGCTGGTTGCCTTATTTCATTGAGCCAATGACTTTAGTCACTGCAAATGACAGGCAGGCTGGAATGAGTCACTGTCTAATAGTGATGGGAGGTCCCAAGTGGTAAAGCAGCTCCCAAAAGTTTGGAGGTTACCTTAAATGTACCTGTGTTGTGTTTGCCCTGTGATACCCTGATGCTGCATTGTTTCTGATTCCTCCAAAATAAGCAGACAAAATGCCATTCTGGAAAGAACTGCTGCTATTCTCCAGCATCCTCCGGGCAATTGATGGACGGCTCGACTTTGGGTTCTAAATCTGGAGTTCTCTGCTTTAGCAGGTTTGCTCTTGGCTGCCCAGAACTGTGTGAAGAAACTATTGTGGTGCATCTAGCAATCACTTCCTCTCCTGGGGTTCAAAACATCCCTGTTGCTGATGGCCAAAACCAGTGTTCTAGACAACCACCGCTGTTCAGCAGAAAATCAAAGTGCTACCTCACTGCATACATGTACATGTGCATTTGTGCGTGTCTGTTGACATGTCGGTACATATGTGTGTGTGCCTCTGCATTTGTGTGTAGATGTGACGGGCATTTCACATGCATGTGTGTGCAGGTATGTAGATGTGTGTTCGAAGAAGGTCTTAGTTCAAACTCACTTCATTTCCCTGATGTGGTAAGGTAGAGCTGGATACTACTCTTGAGGCCTAACCCTCTGGGCCAAGTCAAGTTTGTAGAAGGCTTTACTTGCAGTAAGACTGCTGTGAGATGGTTGGAGGCATGAGACAAAGAGCATAATAAAGGCAGGGTCTGCATCCCTGGTAACCATGGAGCTGTACCACACAGGTGCTTCATCAGGGACTTGCAAGGAGGCTCAGGGGTACAGAAAAGCTGAATGTAGGTGTGCTGAGTGGCTGTGAAAAATGACAGTATCATCATTGTACCAGCCAGCCCTCCATCCACGTAGTGCAGGCTGGACAGCTGCTAATTGTGTAGCATACCTGAGGCTGCAGAAACACTCCCATGCCTACCATGCAGCCCTTTGTCTGAAGCCTGTTTCGTGGCCCTGCCAGTGAGATCAGCCATCTGATCAGCAACTTACTTAAAACAGTGTGGGGTGTCAGCTTGCCTCTCATGAATCTCAGTAGGAGCATGGCACTATCCACCAGTTTGCAAATGTTTTCTTTCCTGCGCTCACAAAATGCCTTGTTTTGAGTGTCAGTAGAAAGCAAGACTGGTGAAATCCAACGCAGCCTACAGGTTTAATTATCTGATTAAAACAGTCTGGAAATAGATTCACTTACTTTTTTAATGTTTGAGTTTTCCCTTAGTATTGATTATAATTCTACCGGCCGTAAACTGGGAGCCCTTTGACAGGATGTCTAGATAGGCTCTAGTATTTACACTTTGGTGCTCTCTGCAGCAATGCTATTTGGCCAATTTTACACTGATCGAGAAAGAGAAGCTATGGTTCTAATCCTGGCTGGGTGTGTGGCCTGTGGGTAAGTCACTTGTCCTTGTGCCTGAGTGAAAGCCATCTGGAAAACTGGATCCAAAGCAGGAAACTCAAAGAAAGACCAGTCTTTTGCTGCTTTTCAAATGAGCTACCCTGGCTGAATGTTTAACAATATAATTACGAAAGATATTGCTGTCCTAATGAGAGCTACTCTGAAAGATTTTGTGAATTGGGGGGGAAACCCAAAACTATAATTTGGTTCACTTGATTTCAGGCCAGTTTACCTTCACTTTCTATTGCTAGCATAGTTGTTAAGTTTAAGGCCAAGAGCAATGGCTTAAACACCAAATTTTACTCAGTTCTTGAGGAAAATAAATGGGAAATGAATTTATAATTTAGAAGTTAAGGGACCACACTAGAACTCTGATCTGAATTTTTATGATTATCCAGTCATGGAAAAGACCTAACAAGGAGTGAAAAGGTGGTCTAGAATAAAGAGCCTAGGTATCAAAGTGCTGAGTTCTAATCCTGGTTCTTTAACTAATTGCAGTACTGGGGTCTGTGCTGCTTCAGTTTCCCCATCTGTAAAAGAGGACGAATATATGCCTATCTCACACAGGTTTTGTGTGACTTAGTTAATGAATGTAAAATGCGTTGAACTGGTAGGCTGTGTCTAGACTGGCCAGTTTTTCCAGAAAATCAGCCGCTTTTCCGGAAAAACTTGCCAGCTGTCTACATTGGCTGCTTGAATTTCCGCAAAAGCACTGACTTCCTACTGTAAGAAATCAGTGCTTCTTGCAGAAATACTATGCTGCTGACGTTCAGGCAAAAGTCCTTTTGTGCAAAACTTTTGCACAAAAGGGCCAGTGTAGACAGCACAGTACTGTTTTCCACAAAAAAGCCCCGATCGCGAAAATGGCGATCGGGGCTTTTTTGCGGAAAAGCGCGTCTAGATTGGCCACGGACGCTTTTCCACAAAAAGTGCTTTTGCAGAAAAGTGTCCTTGCCAATCTAGATGCTCTTTTCCGAAAATGCTTTTAACGGAAAAGTTTTCCGTTAAAAGCATTTCCGGAAAATCATGCCAGTCTAGACGTAGCCGTAGAGTGCTATTATTTATTATACCATATGTTGGTACCCATCCCCTTGTCCAGCACACCGAAAACAGCACGAGCAACATTCAAAGCTCATGTATGCTTATATCTTGAGCTAAGGAGCTAACAGACTGACATCCTATAGACTGAAAAAACTCTGGCCACAGGGCTTATAAAGAGGGATTTAGCCAAGTACATGGCGCTCCCTGGAAGTCCTCCCCCCCTCCCAGCCAAATGCCCTCATTGCCTGCCCCTGGAAGTAGCCCAAGTTACAATAGAAGTGGACTCCTGTCTCCTTTCAGAATTAACCTGTACCACTCATATTTGGGGCATTGAATATTCAGGCATCAAACTTCAGGAAGTAGTCATAGAAATTATAAAGAAAACTATCCTGATAAATTCAGGAAAATCATGAAAGGCTAAAGATAAAGGTCACTTTACAACTAGAAAAAGAAGCTGAAGCTTATTATTCTTTCTTACTTATTTTCTCAGCTCTAGTGTCAGTGTTCTGTAATGTTTTATCCATCACCTGGTGGGGTAATTAATACTGGAACTTGTACAGGTAGGATAAATTAGTGATACTCATATAGAGGCTTGAGAGCCACAAGTGGGTCTTTTCATCCATGCTATTAAAACACTCTGTGATTTAATTTAATTAATTTAATTTATACATTAATTTTACCAATCAGGATGGTTTTACTATGTTAGAAGCCGTTTGTAGAGTACTTGGTTAATCAGATATGGTAAATGAAACAATAAAGTCACACTACAATGGCTCTTTGGGATAATAATAATTGCTAGTTTGGCTCTTGAACCCCTCAGGTCTGAGTAGCATGGATTAAACTGAAACCCAAGGAGCCAAAGTTAATAGAGTGATTGGCTAGAGTGCCAAAGAACCATTTAAGAGTAAAACTTTGGCACAGCTGATGGTTTGCACCTGTTCTCTAACTGAGTCTAATTAAAAGCTGGGTTGGTCTGAGAACAGAGCTGATCTTGAGCTGCTGGGAAGTTTGCTGGTAAGATTGTTGCTTTTTCTTAATAGTGGCTTTGTAGTTAACCCTGTTAAGAAAATCCAACCTGTTGCTTTGTGGCTGACCAAAAAAAAAAAAAAAATGGTCCCCATTACAAGATGCATTTATTTAACACCCTCTCCCCATCCCTCCACCAAACACACACCTGATTTGTGTATGTGTATCCATGATAACTAATGTCCCCATATGTAATATAACCATGTATTAGATTAATCTAAAATATGTTCATGCAACTGTATCTGAATCTATCTGTGCCAAAAAGTAAGTACACACTTCATATGTGATGTGAAATGTGTATTTAAAGGGAGGCCAGAACCAGTTACTTCTGGTCCCAGAAATAGTTTCTGAAACCCTAAGACCAACAGAAATGCGGGTTTGGTTGTTTTATTTTATTTTTTGCAAAAAGGGGGAATAATTCAGTGGAAGCAGTTGTTCAGTTATGCTCTAAAAACCTCCTGCTAGTGTCTTTGTAGCCCAAACATTGTAGTCTTGAGCTAGGGTATGAAAGCTTAAAAGTGGAATTTCTTACGATCAGAAGGGAACAGACTAGTTCCAACTGAGATATGCAAGAAATGTACAACCCACAGCAAAACAAAATGTGTTAAAAATGGCTGTTTTAATCATTGCAATAACAGTTCAAGGGTTCGTTTTCTTTTTACATGTAGCATTTCACCTACCGGAATTATTTTCACACTTATTAGTTCACAAGCTTTCCATCTGCTCAGTCGCTATCTGGCCTTCATCTATCCTGAACTCCCGTACTTACATAAGTGATTGGCAGCTCATTACAGATGAGTGAAACTCAGCGATTTGTGTTGGCAGAGCTGTAACCATTTCAGGTGTCACTCTCAGGAGAACAAGGGGTATCTTGATTGCCTCAGTCTCCTGCGTGGGCAGATAGGGTCAGCCAAAGTCTGTCCTTGTAGCTATGGATTGAAATCACTCTCACCTGAAACCAAAATTTAGTTCTATTTTAGCCCTCCCACAGTTAAAATGAACTTGGCCCAAGTTCCAGGTTTGTAATGAAACTCCAATTCTACTTGGCTTGTGGGTTTGCAAAGAAAGTGTCACATGGCTTCCCTGCAATATCTGTGTTCTTAAAAGTACAGTATATTTGCAATGTGCTTTAATCATGCATTACTGGACATGCTGCAAACAGACACCGGCCAATGAGTCATAGCCCTTAGGTGCCTCTTTGTATAATGTGGCTCCTCATCCCAGCTTTGCAGAAATGAGCCAATCCTGTTTCAAGGTCAGTTTCCAGTATCTTTAATAATGCATTTTATTTTTTTGCACTAATTCTTATAATACGGTTAAATCTGTATTAGGAGCTCTTATGCTCATGGCCTACACTTCTGTAATAGATGCCATTCTGCTAAAGAAGGGATTGTATCACTGGGCTTCTGGTCTGTTTTCTCTAGCAAAGAATCCTTGGTTGGGTGTTTGTTTGTTTTTTAAGTGCTGAGTCAACCCAAGAACACATGTATAGTCATTCCCTCAAGCAAGAGCCTCCTTAACATAGCCCTGACTCAGGCCAAGCTAGTGCCACTAAGAGTCTGGTACACACACTGCTGGACTCCCTCATGTCAGTTTCACTTCAGTGCCCTTTGTTGATTTCAGTTGTGTGCAGCCATCATTAACCAGCTGGGATTGGAGTAGTATTAGACCGGAGAGAGACTCAGTGAGCATCACCGTTCTCCCACACTCCTTTCATAGCAACCCACGAGCCCATTAGATAGGGAGGCAGGCTTGCAAACAAGAGGAATGAGACAGGGCCCTGATTAACTGTTCCTCTGCTCAACACATCATCACAGTGGTGGCAAAATGTCTACATTGTGTGAAAGCCAGTATGCGGGGCTACTTACACACCGGTGGTCTATGGCCCCATAATGCTTGTAAAGTGCAGCTGGGAAGGGCTGGGCACTCACTGGGAGGTAGGGGAAGGGTTTGATAGGTGGAGGAGTGTCAGTGGGAAACATAGGCAGCGGAGAGGGGTCTTTAGATCTGGTCTTCTGTATCCCATGCAACAACAGAACTGGGCCTCTGGGGGAGGAGCCAGAGCAGGGAGGGAATTGCAGATGGGTTGGGAAGTTGTGGAAGGACCAAGCAGGGAGGAGGAGATGGACTAAGAGGTCTGGGGAAGAGGTGAGTGTGGCACTTCACACCTGAGCATGTCTTCACACAGCTGGTAAGTGCTGTGTGGCAGGGATTGCATTTCCTGTTTCAGTCTAGCACCCCGCACCATGGGGCTTTGATTCTGAGTGGGCCCTATGTGGAAATTAAACGGGAGCAAGAGCCTTTCTCTGCAGGTGAACTGGCTGCCTCGTGTACCGCTGTGGGTGTTAAACCCATCTGGGTTGCTCCTTGATCTGAGCACAGCACGTGTGTGAACGTGCACTTTACACAACCAGGCTACGCAGCTCTGCATTCCCACCGCTTAGCACGTTTGCAACGGCTCTTTAGCTTGAAAGATCACAGCCATTGTAACCTGAAATTGATTTTTCCTTTGCGGAGGGATGTTTGAAGCAAAAACCAATTTGGTTTGTATAAAGTACATTAGCTCTAAGAAGATATCCCTCAGAGTGCACGAGATCACCTTTGAAACTGTTTTCACCCTCGCATGAATAACAAGTTGCACAATAAAGGGAATTTCTTACAGCTGATCTGATCTCTACCCATCCATGAGCTGACTCTGAAATGAGACGCGTCTATTTGCTCTGATTCAGAACTTGTGTGTCATATTTCCTGATCTCGTTACAAAGACTCCCGATGACTGGTGTCACAACCCAGAGGATATACAGGTTTAGCCATAGCAAGCTGTTGAGACAAGTACAACTCTGTAGCCTCTTGTCACGATTGGACGCCTGTGTTGTATTTAGAGTGAGACCATGAGTGGATCCAGGAAGCTCAATCTAGATTGCTAGAAATCATTAAAAACTCTAATGCAGCAGCTAAGGAGGGGCATGTGCACACCCTGCTCTTCTCCCACTTGGATTTGTGCAAACTTCTCCTGTCCTTCCCTTTTCCCTCCTCTAACCTGTCCAAAAGGCTGCTGCTAAAGTCATCTTTCTCCTCCCGTCCCCTTCCAATCCCTCCATTGGCTTCCGAGATTTTAACATCTAATTCAACCTGCTTGACCGTGCATGTCTCTGCACAACATGGCCCCATCTATCTCTGTTCTCACCCCTTGCTTTTCATTCTCTTATCTCATTCCTCCAGCTTTCTTCTTGTTCCACTCAGCTTTGTAGTTTCTTTCGTGCTATCTCCGCCATGTGGAATGATCCTTGTCTTCATCCACCAAGTGAGCACCCCCTCCTCTAGCAGTCCCTTGTCTTCAAGCAGGCCTTCCTCCCTTGAGCCCCTCATACCTGCACACAGCCTCTCCCGATTCCTTCTGCCCTGTGTCTTGTCTTATTTGTCTCATTTTGGCTGTAAAACCTGGGAGGGCAAGGAATGTGTGGCTTTAGTCTGTGTACACTGCACTTAAAATGTACTGACACACAAACTTTTAATAAATAATGGCCCTTGTCAACAGCTGTTGGAAAGATCCAGTGTCTAGGAGAGTGAAGAAATATTTAGGATAGTTCAAATGCAGGCCCACAGATGTGGTGGGAAGGGAGGAGAGGCC